TAAACATTTTATTAACTCACCCCTAATGTCTTGACAGGACTAAACCAAATGATTTCTCAGGCCTTATATGCCCTGAGGGCTGGACAGTCCCCACCCCTGCCCTACAGTAAGGCCTACATTCAGCATGTTATATTCATTTGCACAGAGCTTCCAATCACCTTTTTGGTGGTCAACTCTCTCATGGCTGAATGGCCAAGGCACAATAAACATTTGAGAAAAGTCAAAGTAGAAGCCAAATATAATAAACTTAAAACATCAACTTGAAGCCCTGTCCAGGTTGGGGGTTTCATTCCCAGTCAGGGCATATACTCAGGTTGCAGATTCCATCCCCTATCAGGATGCATATGGGAGGTAACCAATCAATGTTTCTGAGATCAGTGCTTTTCCCTCTCTCTCCCTTCTCTTTCTAAAATCGATAAAATCATATCCTCGGGTGAGGAATAAAAAAAAAAAATCCACTTTAAGAAAACAGACTATGCACGGGAAAAAAACCCATCATTAACATTAATATATTGTGAGAGACAAAGGGGGCAAAAATATTGCATCACTACATGCATGAACAAAAACAGGATGCTACAGTTAAATATTGAAGACAAATCTTCTTGGCTATCTATAATAATAAAGGCATAATATGCTAATTAGACTGGATGTCCTTCCGGATAAAGTTGCAGTGGGCGGGCTGAGGCAGACACGGCCACCATGGGGGCCAAGGCCCTTGCCCAAATTTTGTGCATTGGGCCTCTAGTTAACAGTATAACAGCAGAAATGAAAAAAGTACATAATAGAATTGTAAGGTTGAAGATATCTCCCAAAAAATATGGAAGACAGATATAAGAGGAAAGATACAAAAATGAAAAGGCCAACATAAGAAGTCTAATATTTAAACAGGGGGTCCAGAAGGCAGAAGCAAGTAGAAAGAAACTTAAAAAATAATAGAAGAAAATATTCCAGAAGTGAAGGGTATGTGCTTCCAGATTAAGAGGGTATAAATGAATGCCTGGAACAATGGATGATAATAAGCCAAGACACATAGTTATGCAAATTGAGAATACTGGTGACAATGCCCTTAAATACTTTCATAGAGAAAAATTATGTATGTGCACTCATGGACATAAAATATTTTAAGAGAAGGATGTGGTCAATTTTTTCTTACACATACATGTTACCCATACCCACCAGTAACTCCTCTCTTGCCCCTTGCTCCAAATTACATAATTACACAATTGTTTTTGTAGCCAATTGAGTGACTATTTTTATACTTATTGAACTTGACCTTCTTTCATTTCACTAAAAAAACCAACACAACAATAAAACCTATTTGTGAAGTATATAACAGACTTTAAGAATATCAAATGTGTATCATCACGAAGCACTATAATAAACACATGGAGGGGTTATTTGTACTATTTCTCTCATCTTGTTAGTATGTTTGAAAATTTACTTAATGAAAAGTAAAAAAAGTTAAGGAGGCCAACAGGTTGCTTATCTCCAAGGATAAAAAAAAAATCTTTGCAGCAGATGTAGATATTAAAATAACTTACAATTCCTCAATCTGTTGTTTTGTCTATTTAGCAGAATAAGTTCGGATCCTAGTTCATTTCATTCCCACAGTACTATAACAGCTTCCTACCTGGTTTCTGACTCCCTTCTCTCCCCCTACAGTATACAACTTACTCTGGTGCCAGTTTTTTGTTTTGTTTTGTTTTGTTTTTTCTATAAACCAGATTTGCCCATGCTATTCTACTCAAGAATTTTCAAATGGCTTCCTATCGCTTACACAAATGTCTGGTAGGCTAGTTTAAGATTAAGGTCTTTCTCATCATGGCCAGGCTTCTCTCCTATAGTTTCTCTCATCCACCTCCATTCTCCTTTCATGCGCTATCTGGTTTTGTTCATGTTGCTCTCTCTGAGAACAATGCTCTATATTCCCTTTTCTCCTAATAAAAGCTCTCTCATCTTTCAATTATGACCTCTCTTATCTTGCTTGACTACACAATATAGGATAACTCACTCTTCTCCTTTGAACTCCCTACTGTACTTTGTCAAAGCCATCAACTTAACAGTTGTCACAATATATCGTGGCTTCTTCATAGGGACACTTCACTCAGATCATGAGCCCCTTATGTGCATGGCATTCATCATAAGCTCCTTGAACACAGAAACCGTCTTTCTGTAACATCTAACACAATGCTAGGCACACTGGAAGTGCTCAGACATAACAAGAAAGTTGGCGAAGGTATTTTTCTTCTTTTTCTCACCAATCCTAATAATTCCAGTTCAAATGGTGTATAAATGCGTAAGAGCTTAGACTTTCTTTACCCAACCACAACACAAAATGCAGTCAGAATAGTGTTAACTTATTAAATCACTCTCCTGTTCACAATAGGCTGTAACTCCTCTAACTCATACTCTTTGTTTCTAGGCTTTCTAGAATTCAACCACATTCCACAAAGCCATCTCTCTTCTCCTTTCCAAAAAGAATTCTCTGATCCAATAAGATTAATATTTAAATAATTCTCTCATTTACTTCTACTTAATTAAGACACGTTTCTTTGTCCAAGCCATTTCCTCAATCTCCAATATGTTTTCTTCTCTTCTCCACACTCTCAAGGCTCTGATTATAATGGAATATATTTCTCTACCATTGAAGCCAACTTTAAACTTAATACACATACACACACACACACACACACGCACGCACGCACGCACCACACAAAACACACACCAGAAATAGAATGAACCAATGCAATTTCTAATACAAAGTACTTCCTAACTCTCATTTCTCCAATTTCTATAGCATTTTGTCTATAAAATATACATTTTAATGCTACAAAATTTGCCCCCGCATATTTGAAATACCAATTACATCTTAATTTTTTTGTACTCTATTGCAGAATAGATAAGAAAGAATCCCACAGAAATCTGAACAAGGATATTTCTTAAATTTAAGGTGACAAACTTTTCTGAAATTCAATGTAAATCAAATTGTAGCCTAAAAATGCCAAACACTCTCACACACCATTATTTGCAGATTTTGAGCATTATCAATAAAACATATCCTACAAACCACAATATACATAGAGAAAAAAATGTGAGCCACACATATTAAAATACATACCCTATTTATTTTTAATAGGTAAGTAATATTTAACCACATTATTGAGACAGGAAAAGTCCTTAGACTACACCGATCAATTCATGCTCTTATTCATTCAGAATCTAATAAATCAGAATGAAACAATGACTTTCTCTCATATAACCTAAAGAAACTTCAAAAATAATTTTTCAATAGACAGTATGTATATTAAAAAACTCATTCACAATGGCTACCTTCAATATGAGACCAGTCCCTAGGAGTTCCTTTTTTGCATTTTAGTTATGCAGTTCACTGCAAAAAGACAAAGTATATAGAAGTTGGCAGTTTACAAAGGAAGTTCCCAATTCTGTTAGAAGAAAATACAAAGCACCACTGCAAATGAACTATTTCATCATCAAAACAACTTTTCTATCTATTCATTGTAATCACATATAACCACTAGAGGCCCGATGCACGAAATTCATGCAAGAGTAGGCCTTCCTTCCCCCGGCTGCCAGCACTGCCTTCCCTTTGGCACCCGGCAGGCACCAGGGACCCGGGCTTCCCTCACTGCCCCGGCTTTGTCCAGAAGGACATCCGGTCTAATTAGCATATTACGCTTTTATTATTATAGATCAGTATCTAAATAAGCAGATATCACCGAAAAGAACCTGAAGACCACTTAAAATATGAAAAACAGCATCACACACTTTCAAAATAGTTACAGCAGAACAAGCAGCAAATACCCAGAGTAGAACATATATTACAAGTTAAATTCTGTGCACAGAACTGTGTCCAGCAGAGTAACTATATCTGTGGCTACAGCACATGCATAAGGCACTATTTCAGTGGACAGAGCTGCAGTCCCAAAAGAGGCACAAAAAGTTCCTGTCCAAAAATTTCCCTAAGTATACAAACCAGTCTAAAAGCCACTCCCAGTCTTAATCCTAGTGTCATTCAATACAAGTATCAAGAATTAAGAATTAAGGTCAAGAAAGCAATACACAAATAGGTTTTAAGAAGAGTAGGTTGCTATGTATTGCAGTAGTATGAAAATATATTATTCTTTGGATTGGGTCTGTGATTATATGAAATGAAGAAGTCAGAAGTCAAGACTTGACACGCATGTGGTAATAGTATCAACATGCAAGTCCCTCACTAAACCCTACTCCTCTTTTAAGTATTAATTTAAAAGTCAATGGTTTTATCCTATTTAATCCTATTTTATCTCTTATGAGAGACTCAAAGAATGAGGAAGATTCTTGATCTATCTTAAAGTACACCAATAATTTCAGTGTCAAGCTGATAATAAGCCATCTTCCTTACCATTTTTTAAAATAAAATTAGGTAAAATAGCCCTAGCTGGTTTGGCTCAGTGGACAGAGCTTCGGACTGCAAACTGAAGAGTCCCATCAGGTTTGATTCCAGTCAAGGGCACATGCCTGGGTTGTGGGCTCAATCCCCAGTTGGGGGTGTGCAGGAGGCAGCCAATCAATGATTCTCTCTCATCATTGATGTTTCTCTCTTCTCTCCCTATCCCTTCCTCTCTGAAATCAATAAAAATATTTTTTAAAAATATTAGGAAAAATAAATCCCTAAATCTGATAAAGATTATAGCGTGATCTACAATGAGCTTAACCTGCTGGCGTGAACTATTATCTCCTACAAACATATGACTCAAAATAAAATTACAACATATAGCAAGAATAGTTTTATTTGGCAATTGTTAGTATAATAGGCTATAAATTCACATGCTTACAAAAGTGGAGATAAAACAACAATCAGCAACTTTGTAAGTCACCAGGAAGCTGAAGGTTTGGAAAAAAGGAGCTATTCCACTTTATTATTGTTCTTGAGTAGTGGATGGAAGCAGACTCAAGAACAAAAAAATGAGAGCAACCAAGGATAATTTACTAAAATTCACCTTAAAAAGATTGAATCTGCCATCTTGGATCTCTGCACCTGGTGCAACTTCCATAGTACAGTCTTCGGCCTAAGTTAAATAACATATTCCCCATTAAGATACCACATAATTTTTAATTGATAGGCCATATAAAGACAAACTCGCTGTGGCTAGTCTGAGACTTGAAACAAAGAACATCAGAAAATCATTAACATAAAACTGAAAGGGAAGAAAGGGGAAAAACCCAACATGGTAACAAGAACAGAATTTTTAAACTCATATAGCTTTTAACCACCTTTGCAGAAAAAAGTGACTTATTTAGAAGTAAAATTGGTACAGTAGAAAGTGCGGGGGTATTTTGGAACATTTTATTAATTACCGTAATTTTATTTGTAGTAGAGGTAACTGGTATAACTTCAAGTCCCATTCGTATCCTCTTTTGTTTTTCACAGTAAGCTTTCCAGGTATCTTCATTAAACCCGTAATTAAAATAATCAGAAAGATCAGCACCTAAAGATAAAACACACTTTTAGTAAACAAATATTTCAATTCTATTGTTTTGCAGCATATAAAATGTAATAAACTGTAAAATATAAATTTAGAGTTCTATTAGTCTAGTCTTATCACCCTTTCTAATTTTACCAGCTCTCTCAATTACCATAAAGCAACAGAACTATAAGAACTTTTTATCAGAACTATTTCCTTTAGAAATGCATTGTAATAAAACAATATGCAAGTCTACTTTAATATAATGCTAGGCTATCAGCAAGATTTAATAAATTCATTATTATTAATGATTAGTTTATTACAGTAATTCATTATTAAATTCATTATTACTCTCCTGAGCTTAAGACTTCAAAAATGACATTAAAACAATAATATTCTAAATTGATACTGAAAAATACTTTCTAATGACTGTTTATTCTACAAATCTTTTGAAACCGATATAATCCATCATTAATCTTACCAGGTTTACGCCACGGCTTATCTTCAAAAGAATCCAAATCTACCTCCGAGAGTGGAACTCCATTAATGCTTCCAGGTGCATCAAGGTCTACTCCTTTGACTTTTGTTCCTGTTTTATAAAATTACAAAATGGTGAAGGAGCTACATTAGCAAGAGGCTGAGAGATACTCTGACACCTTTTTACTGTTGCTAGCACTCAATATGGCTAAGGTTCCAAACAAAGCATTAGAGTAATGCTTACCATAAATAAAAGTTAAGGTCAAACTTCATGGTAGAGCTATAACATAAAATGGATAGAGACTAGCGACTTGTTATTTACAATAAGGGATTCCTGTCCCACTAGGAAATTGCTAACTTCCATGTTTTATATCAGCTTTTGTACAGTCTGTGAGATAAGAAATGCTTTTACCTTTTTAAACGGTTGTATGACAAACAAGTTAAAGAAACAAGCAAAACACCATGGCAGGAATCCTATGTGGCCCATATAGACTAAAATATTTATTATCTAGCCCTGTGATATATGGTCAAACTGTTATTTTTAATTGACCTATTACAACCTATCACCTACTCAGATATATACCTTATTTTTCTATTGATGCAGCTGCAAATAAAAATTTTACCTGTAGTTCCATAAACTCTACCTCCTGTCTTGATGTTAAGATTTACAGGTGCTGTACCATAACTCCTAAAAACAAAATAAAAATTATCCTGAGAAACTTAAACAGAAACAGCAATACATTTAATTATACAATCACATAGTAACTGAATAAACTGACAATGACACAATTTAGAAAATGTTTTAAACTAATTTAAGTCTGTCACTTGCTCAATAAAAGATAAAAATATTGTTTAAAAGTGTGACTTGTTTTCCATCTCAAAAACCCACCTGCCACTAACTCAATATCCCACTACAGCACACTTCACAGAAAATTTGGCTGGGAAGAAAATAAGAGTTTACATGCTTTGTCTTCATTTCCTCATCTAGTTGATGCAACATACACAGCAATCCTGCAAGAATGAAATTTCTCTACCTTATTCCCAAATACAGTGTCCTCCCTTTAATCCTTCCTGCACTTGATACTGTTGATAAATCCTCTTTCAAATACCCATGGAGTACATCTGTCCATAAAATGAATTTTCATGAAATTCAAAAATAAGTCTAGAATAAAAGCAGAGCAGTGCTTGGTGGTGGTCTGTTGTTAATGACTACAGAAAACAAGAGGGAAGTTTCTAGAATACTAGTGATGTTCCATATCTTAATTTGGATGGTGGTTACATGAATCTATACACTCTAAAAAATTACTGAGCTGCATCTTTTTTAATGTAGTATAGCATACATGTGATCGAGGGAAAAAATTCAGAGTTACACAGACTCAAGTTCAAATACAAGTTTATTAATTGTATAATCTTAGCCAAGTCACTTAACACCCCACAGACCTTGTATACATTTTCTTTAATGAGCTTATATATACTTCCCTGCTTTTCCATATAATGCATTCTTATGTAAGAGTAGGAAAATCAAATATACTGACCAAAATAGGCTTATACATTATTGGGGAGGTTAGGGAAAAGGGGACAAAAGAGAGTAGGTAAGGAAGAAGGCTCCATTCCCACAGAGCAAATAGGTGTTAGTAAGACCTCAAGTTATAGACAATGTTTTCAATGACATATTCTCACATTATATCCATGTTTTTTAACTTGGTTCTTTACCCTAACAAGTTTAGCTAACTGAACTTTCCTAATAATTTCCACCTTTTGGTCTCCAATGTACTAAATTTGAGACCTAGGTTATTCACTTATATAGTACTGCTATGTACTCAATAAACTGCTCTAGAAACCTGTAAGTCATTGAGTCCTTTTTCTCACTCTCCATCCACAACTAATCAGTTACCAATTTATTTCTAATTAATACTCAAATATACCTTATTTTCCCATTCATCCCTATACTACTGCTGTTGGCTTAGTTTGGATTATCTCATGTGGACAATCACTTTGACAACTAATATCTAACTAGTTTATTGCTACTATTTATCTTTGCAAATAAGCTGACTTGCCTAAAAAAACCTTCAAAGGTTCCATGATAACATAGCAAAAACAGTCTAACTCCCTTCTCAAATAGTTTCGACCATCCTCTCTCATTTACCTTTATCCTTCAGGCATGTGGTTCCTTAAACCACGCTTACATTACATCTAAACAGTATCCTCTACCTAAATCATTTTAACTGAAGAATTATCCAAACAAGTTAAAATAGCCCTCTAACATCTTCCAACACCTGTAGGCTTATAGCAACTCTCCTCCCAAAGCTTTCAAATCATTTTGTATATGTTCCTATTCTTGCACTTACACTCGCTAAAAGTATTGCTCTGTCTTCCTCACTAATTCTGATAAAAAAGGACTATTATTTTTTACTAGAGGCCTGATGCATGAAATTCGTGCAAAAATAGGCCTTCCTTTCTCTGGCTGCCAGCAGGCACCCGTGACCCAGGCTTCCCTCCCAGCCCGGCTTTGTCCAGAAGGATGTCCAGTCTAATTAGCATATTACGCTTTTACTATTATAGATAACCCCATCATCAATTAGTAAAATGCTAAACTGTCTTTGAAAAGTGCTTAATGAAAGAATGGATGAATCTCAAAGACATAGCTAAGAAACTACTTCTCTATACAAGATATTGTTCCTAACAGCTTTTCTTCCTACTGTATAGATAAAATGAACTTTGTAACAAAAGTATGTTGTCAAAAAATTCTATTTTGTACTTTCTAAGAGCTAACAATAAACCAATTTAGTATTGTTTCTCAAACATAATTTGTTCTTTAAACAAGCTTGTGAAGTGTACACAAAGTAAATAGCCACTAAATTTAATTTTCTCACTGGTTTTCTTTCAGTTTTCAAGGAATATATCTTGAATTATCAAAGTTAAATAAGTTTTATACCCTTCAGAAAGATCTGTAGCTTACTTTGAAATGCATTAAAAATACATTTTAAAAATAAGATTAAGGGTTCAATACAAGGTCAGGGCGCATACCAGAAGTAACCAATCAACATTTTTTCTCACATCAGTATTTCTCTCTCCCCCTCCTTTCATCTCTCTAAATTCAATAAAAAACAAATCCTCAAAAAATTTAAAAAAACACATTAAAAAACAAAAAACATTAAATGCATGGGTGGATGTGTGTGTATATATCTATATATCTCCATCTAGCCAGGTATATATGTGTGTATATATGTATGTGTGTGTGTGTATATGTATAGTATATTATAAAGCAAACATAGAAAAATGTAAATTGTATAACCTAGGTAATGAGTAAATAAATGTTCACACTTCAATTCTTTCAACTTTTCTGAATATTTGAAAATTTTCATAATCTAATGTTGAGGAAAAAATGTTATCCATATGGGCAAAAAATGTTGGTAAATTTCTTTGTTAAATGGCATTTAAATATACAAAATAAATATCAAAAATATAAATCTTTGTTTTACTATGGTTGCAAATATCAAAAAATCTCTATATGTGACACAGCACCAGAGTTAAGTGTCACTTGTTTTAACATGTAATCTACCAGGTCAATAAAGATTTATTGAATACTTACTAGATGTAAGGCAATATAAGGAATAGAAAAATTCATAAACCAAGATTTCTACTCTTAGGGAATTTAGAGTTCAAACATGTATAAACATAAGTAGAATTTATGAACTGGAAATTGCCGTAAGAAATAAAGTTCAGAGAAAGTACTATGGGAGTCTGTGCATTTAATATCTGCATGTGATTCCTACCAAAAATTGGTCATATTAATAAAAGAAATCACCATTTGCTTTAATTGTTCTATACTTGCAAATACAAATTTTATATAAAAGTATTTGCTAAATACGCCATGAGTGGTATATCATATTAAAGTGTTTCTTTTGCATAATGCAGATGGTAAATGTCTACTAGCCTAGAGGCCTGCTAACATATTATAAGCCCAACACTATTTATTTTAAAAGTGGGGAAAAAGAGAACTTCAAAAGTTATCTACCTCATCATAGCCAGTGTGGCTCAGTGGACAGAGCATTGACCTGCGACTGAAGGATCCCAGGTCTGATTCCAGTCAAGCGCACATGCCAGGGTTGTGGGCTTGATCCCGAGTAGGGGGCCTACAGGAGGCAGCCGATCAATGATTCTCTCTCATTCTTGATGTTTCTATCTCTCTCCCCCTCTCCCTTCCTCTCTGAAATCAATAAAAATATATTTTAAAAAATAGTTATCTACCTCTAACATAAGTTATTTAGTCTCTTCTCAACCCTGCTCCCAAAAAAGTTGCTAGGGTTTTAAAATTACACAGGCAATCATTATTATATTGTAAAATTGAGCTCCTGAAATAAAAAACTTTTGAAAACAAAGGCTCTACTGAAGAGATAAAATGCAGGGGTGGGAAAAAGTAGGTTTACAGTGTGAATATTGCAAACAATTTATTCTTGTATTATTTATTACTTATTATATTATCATCAGTATCATTATTATTAACCTACTTTTGCCCACCCCTCTTCAAATGTACTGATGTGTACTGTATATATATGTATTGGTTGATTCCAGATAAGGCTGCTTAATAAACTATATAGTACAATTAATGAAAAGTTTATTTTATGTGTCCAATGCACAACTACATTACACATTCAAACTAAAAACACATATAACCTTGATTCTTATGCTACCACCAAAACAAAATCACAACCTGTACTTTAATATATTCCCTTCCAATATTTCCGTAAGATTTTATACATACTTAATGAGTCACTCGCTTGATTCAGAATTTTACTGAAAAAAGTCTACAGGATAATTGATAATTTAAAAAAAAACACTATGAAGATCAAAAAGCAATACTTTTGATATTGTTTTTATTGGACAAAAAAATTAAAAACCTAAACTCAGCTTTGGATAAGTAATAAAATCGCAAAACAATACAGATACAAACTTCAATTTAAGGTTTTCTAATTCTACCTAAAGAATTTGTTGTATTCAATTCATTTATAAAAATTTTAATTTCAGAAATCAAAAATACTGCTGCTCCCATGTAATTTTACCTAATTATCTTTAGAAAAGGAATACTGTCATGGTGAAATTCCTTTTATCATGAGCTGCAATTAAAATATAACATATATTGCCCTAGCCAGTTTGGCTCCGTGAGTAGAGTGTCAGCCTTCGGACTGAAGGGTCCCAGGGTCGATTCCAGACAAGGTCACATGCCTGGGTTGCGGGGCTTGATCCCCAGTAGGGGGTGTGCATGAGGCAGCCAATCAATGATTCTCATCACCAGCGTTTCTCTCTCTCCCTTTCCCTCTCTGAAATCAGTAAAAATAGATTTTAAATAATAATAACATTAATTTTAGGTGTACAGCCTGATGCAATATGTTTAAATTGCAAAGTTTAGTTAACATACATCACCACACTTAGTTACAAATATTTTTCCTTATGCTGAGAATTTTTAAACTCTATTCTCTTATCAACTCATGGTAAGATGCAAAAATGTAAAAAACAATTAAATCAACCACTGATGGCTTGATACAGGCATACTACCTTTGCTTTAGTCACACAATTGTTACTTAAAAATAACTTACCCATACTGTGGTGCTCCGGTTTTAATGTCTCCTATAGTGACATGAACATCATCCTCATCATCATCACTGTCACTATCACTATCATCTTCAGTCTCAGTCACTTTCTATACCAACATAAACAATTATAAAATACATTCAATAATCCATTTCAGTACCTGATATGAATGAAAAAGTAACCGTTTTGCAATTAAGCTATAGATTTACAGAAAAAAGTTACAAGCTCACAGAACTGATCCTTATTTCAACTCATTTATAACTTCAATACTTTACATGATAAAAAGGATAAGAATGCGAAAACCTTTTTTCACCATCATCTTTTTGTAAATAATGTATTTTTTTTCTAACATTTATAACTGCTCCTCTTGCAAAAAGGATCTAAGGCAATTTACTAATATATAAAGAAGATAAAATTATTAAAAAGTATTTGAGAAATTCTTGGTGAAAAGAATATATAAAGTTAAGAGGAAAACAATTTTAAGAGTCACAGTGTCAAGGTTAATATCCACCAAATAGCCCTGGCCAGTGGTAGAGCATTGACCAGAGAACCTAAAGGTTGTGCATTTGATTCCCAGTCAAGGGCGCATACCTGGGTAGTAGGGTCCTTACTGGCCTAGTAGGGGGTGTGTGAGAAGCAACCAAATGTTTCTCTTCCCACCCACTTGCTCTAAAAAAAATCAATGACGGCCCCTGTGAGGTTGAAACAGCCCCTGTAAGGCTGAGACGGCCCCTGAGAGGCTGCGCCGGCCCCTGGGAAGCCGAGAAAAATACCACATGATCTCACTCATTTATAGATAATAAAGACCATTATAGATTGATGAACAAAAATAGACAGAGGCAGAGCAGCATTGAACAGACTGTCAAACTACAGTGGGAAGCCTGGGGAGGGATGGGGGGGGCGGGGGTAAGAGATCACCAAAAGACTTGTATGCATGCATATAAGAATAACCAATGGACACAAGACACTGGGGGGTAGGGGAGGCCAGGGGAATGTCAAGGGGAGGTGGGGGAGGAGACATATATAATACTCTTTGTAATACTTTAAGAAATAAAACAAAACTTAAAAAAAAATCAATGGGAAAAATATCCTTGGGTAAGGGTTAACAAAAAATTTTAAAAGCCCCAAATAGTTAGGGAGCACCTCACTTATTCCTGGAATTCATTTACACCTACAAGAGGCCCTGCATGCAAATGGTTGAGGGAATAGTTTGTTTCTATGAGTAAAAGAAAGGCCATTTACAAGCTTTTGTTTTGGCTCTAAAAGGCCATTTTGTGCTTTGTCACATAATTGTAAATTTTAAAAGTAGAAAAACTAGGCGAAATAATTTTTGATACAAACTGGTAGAGTAACTAAACTATGGGGGGGGGGGGGAGTAAAATGTTAAAAATAGTCATAGGACCCATAATATGTTCACACAACTCCAAAAAACATCACTTTCAACAGGGACGAGGGCAAATACTGTCACTTATACAAGAAAACTTTTTGCTAAAAAACATGGCAATCAAACTTAGGTTTTAAGACTCAAATGTTCGCTTTGAAAATCAGGGTATGAGCTAATTAGATGATCTATGATCATTCAGTTCCTTGAAATAAACATCAAGCCTATGCACATGCCCTATTTCATCTGAAATCTTCCCACTACTTCTCTTCGTTATGCTTTTGATGGCACCAGATGAGGTAAGTGATGTAAGAGGGGGCCAGATCAAGCAGGATAATGAAAGTCATATTGAATTTTGGCTTTATTCCTAAGTGAAGGCAAAACTATTGATAAAGATTTTAAACAGAGAAGTAACTAGATTTTCAAATCCTTATATTACCGGTTTAGGTAATCCATTCTCAGCAGTTTCATCTTCATTTCCAGATGGAGGATTATTGGCACTACAAACAACAAAAAAAAGTACATATGCCTAGTATTACTTCTGAGAAGTACAGATAAGGTGTCCTAGTATTTTTAAGCTATGCCTGATAGTTTTCTAAAATTGTCTCCACTAGATGGTAAGAAAATGAATAGTAAAAACTACCGACTCTGTATTTCTCATGCCTTCCTCTACATTAGAAATAGAATGGAATTGCCTACAAATTTGTTAATGGTGTCAAATTTGCAATTTAATGGTGGAATATAATTTGAGGGTTTTTTTTTTACATTTTATAAATATGCGTAACACTTATACTTACCCTAAATCTTTATTGAACATCTTCTGTATGCCAAAACTAATGTAATTGTCAAGGACTATGTAAGTTTCCTATTTTCAGATTTGTAATATGATCACATTAACTCTTTTGTTATTGAGTTAACATACATGCTTCTTTCCTGGCTTTCTGTTTCATCACTTTGGATGTATGTTCCTTGTCGTATAGAAAATAAATTTTAAGATAAAAAAGTTTACCTTCATTTAAGACTGCTTTCCAATTTGATACTAATGATAGCTGCAGACTATTTTTGATGCATTAAAAAACTAATTATACTGACACAATAGTAAGACACTCTTATTCTCTTATATCTTCTTCGCAAGTGTCTCATCACAAACACTTGGCCATTAACAATCAAATACAACTTCTAGTACTATAGTGTTAATTGGTTTCTGTATTTTTAATAATTATAATTTTCATAATGGGAATTAACCACTAACCTCATTTATAGATATAAGGAAATGCAAGTACAGAGCAACTAACAATTACTCAGCTCAAAGACCTCATTAGACTTCTGCTATCTTCTAAACTTCATTCTGTGTCAAGCAGTTTCTACATAAATCAATTTAATCTCTCTACCTTGGCATTTTATAATACTATCTCCAAATAAAGTAAAATGAAGAATAAAAACTATAGTTTATCTTACATTTTCAATGTTCTACTGCTTGACTCAAGAAAACAAACGTGCACCTATATTTCTTTGGTACATTTACTCCTGCTTAAATAAGCTTCCAGGTAGCCAGGAAGAAGTTCAACTCGTTTATGTCACAAAACAATATGGTTAGCCAAAACATGGATAGATAAAACATGAGAGAATTGGAGATAGTATAATGCAATGGTTAAGAAGAGCAGCGGGCCGAAACTGGTTTGGCTCAGTGGACAGAGCGTCGGCCTGCGGACTGAAGGGTCCCAGGTTCGATTCCGGCCAGGGGCATGTACCTGGGTTGCGGGCATATCCCCAGTAGGAGATGTGCAGGAGGCAGCTGATTGATGTTTCTCTCTCATCGATGTTTCTAACTCTCTGTCTCTCTCCCTTCCTCTCTGTAAAAAATCAATAAAATATATATTTAAAAAAAAAAAAAAAGAAGAAGAAGAAGAGCAGCGGTTTTAATAATGAACCAGTCACAAAGAAGCTGGGGAAAATTCTAACAAGGACTCAGCTCACTTGGGGAAATGCAATGATGTACCAAGCTAGACACTAGAACTCTGGGTTGTTGCTCTCTTCCCCAATAAACTTTTAAAAGTTTTAATTCTCTATCACCATTAAAATGCTAAAAACATGGTAAAATTATAAGCATTTTCTAGAAAAATAAAATCTGAAGGGTAGAACTTCCCATAAGATTAAATTTAATAGCTCACCAAATAAAGTTTTATTAAGAAATATAAAGACATATTTGGCAGTGCTCAGGCAAGGCAAAAGGCACCTCTCCAATAAATTTAATCAAGCTGTGTATTGTGGAATTAAAATTAAAGAATGTTCAATCAGAAAATAAGCTTCAAGAATTATAGCCAAAAACTGATATTAACAAAAATGAATGAAATAAAAATTAGCTCACAAAAAGGTGTATTTAGTTGTGATTCTGGACCTCGTTATCAATTAATTTCTTAACTAACTGAAAAACAGGGTATAAAGAAATATGTAATTACTTTCCAAATTATAAATTACACAAATCCTTAATTTGCGGTTAAGATTAGCATTAGAAACTGGGTTGAATACACACATTTAAAAGCCAGATGATAAAATTTCAAATATAGCAATGAGTGTTTTTTTTTAATATCTTCCGATATAAGGGATAGTTTTAAGTGAGGAAGAACAGACTAATTTCAGCACCCCCAAAGCTATTTCTATTTATACTCCTCATTTTGTCTCTCCACTCACGTGTATTCAAAGTAACAGCTTTGAGATATAATGCATACACCACGCTATCCACTCATTTCAAATGTGCAACTCAATGGTTTTTAGTATGTTTACACAACATTGCAACAATAACAACTATCTAATCCCAGAACATTTTCATCACGCCCCTCCCCCAAAAAAATCTTGTATATATTAGTCACTCCCATTTTGCCCTGTACTCAATCTGAGCAACACTAACTACTTGGTATCCCTATGAATTTACATATTCTGTCCATTTAATATAAATAAAAGTATACAATATGCAGTCCTTTGTGACTGGCTTCTTTCACTTAGCATGTTTTCAAGATTCACCAACGCTGTAACACACGAATACTTCATTTCCTTTTACTGTCAAATAGTATTCCACTGTATAAATATACCACGTTTATCTATCCATTATTTGATGGACACTGGTTACTTCCATTTTTTGGCTACTATGAGTAACGCTATGAATACTATGAATACTCATGTACAGAAGGTGCCCGAATAACATCCTTTCACTGAAGGTCGTTTTGTTGTAACGTTGATGAGATGCTTAGGAACATAACTTTGCTTATACCAATTAGCGCATGGCAGAATTGGTCTCGTTAAAGGTAGTTTCACTTAAATCTGCAGAACCTATCGACATGTTAAGTGAGAATCTATAGTACAAGTTTTCACGTAGATGTATGTTTTCATTTCTCTTAAGGTACAGAACAAAGATTGGTAATCCTAAATCATATCGTGACTCTGTGTTTAATCTTTTAAAAAACTGCCAGTCTGTTTCCCAAAGTAGCTGCACCATTTTACAATCCCATCAGTGTATGAGGGTTCCAATTTCTCCATATCCTCACCAACACCTGTTGCTGTCTTCATTACAGCCATCCTGGTGGGTGTGAAGTACTATTCCCCCACTTATTAAAACCAAATATTCTCTAAAAGCCTTTGTTTTTAACCACCCCTTCCCATTGTAGAACTCTAAGGCCTCTGGTCAGAGTGATGTCAGCATAGCCATTAACTTGTATGCATAAGCTGCTTTGAAATTCAGATTTCAGTTTCTGGCTCCCTGGACATGTTCTATAAAGGATACTCATACTTTTCTAGTCACCTAAAATAGGGAACTAATCTTGTGACAAGGTCATTAATTCTACTTTGCATTTAAATACAAAATGCTAAAATTATAACCAAAGTGCATTACACCATCATAAATATTCACTGTAATTTAAGATTATGTATTTAAAAAAATTTTTTTAAAGTTTTTTCTTAATAGTCTTAATGGATATACTGTATACTCCACTTACGAATAAAAAGTTACTTAACACTGAAAAGTATTTAAACCCTTACTTCAAAATCTTTGTCCCTTCAGCTACTAGCAAATAAACAGGCTGGTATAAATAAGATTAGGTCCTGAAATAGGAATAAACTCCCAAAGATTCGATGTCTTCCAACCTTTAGTCAGAGTGTAATCAAACCCACGATTATAATGAAATAATTTTAACAATTTGTTGATAGAACCACTGTATCACAGGATCTGTGTTAAGTATCAACAAGAAATCTCACTAACCTGGTATTTTCTTCTTCTGGTCTTTCAACTTCATTTTCATCTACCAAAAAAAAAAATACATAAATAAATAAAACTAACACACAAACTACTCTTAAAGAAACTAGTAGTATGAAAATCTGAAGTGATCATCACAAGCACTAACCTAGGTCCTTTGCCAAATCACTGTGCACATGCACGTCCCATGGGCCTATAAGCACATCCAAAGTTAGATCACCTTGTAATGACTTAACAAGATATGTCTTTTTATGAAAAAATAAAATCAGACTTTACTCCCATAAAAATAAACTTAAAATGGTACTAAAGACTTCTAGGTCTTCGTAAAAAATAAACCTTACACATTTACATATCAAAGAATATTACTACTGCTAAATCTTGCCACCAAAGACAAATTATTTTATTTTACAAGTTTATCAAAATCCAAGTTTGTCCAAGTCACATCATCATGGTGCCGAAGCCTATACTTTCACTGTATTATTCTAAAGGCAATCAAGGATATACATTGCTGGCAAGGAGCAAATGTTAATTTTCAAATCTAGTATCTGTAACCCACGAGAAGGGACTGCGACTTAATAAAAGTTAAAAACCAAATATCCAAACAAGTCCCCTTCAAAACGGAAGTGCAAGATGTATTAAATTTATTTCGTGAGAAATGAATACATGAGATGAGGCTGAAAACCGTAAGCCGAAGGGGCATGTTGCTGCCATGATGGGGGCTGAAGAGCAGCCTCTTAACGAAGAAAACTTCACCTTAATGCATCAGGAGACATTCGGGGTTTCCTTTACGGGCCATAATGTACTCCATCTCTTTCTTTCTCTCTGAATTATTTTTAAAGCACGACTTTCAGACAAGGTGCATTCCACACCAACTGACCATCAAGAAACAAGACGTTAGTTTCACAGCATCGACTTTATTGAGCTTCTGCAGAGTAACTGCTGCTTAAAGGGACAGGAAGGGGCTGGAAGAGACGCACCAGCACTGCTCAGATCGACTTTAAACAGTAAACAATAAAAAGCGCGGAGGCGAGGTGGCCGAGCCGTCCCGGCCAGGCGGAGGGCGAGGGTCTGGGGCCCGGACCCGCCGCCGCCACCACCGCCACCGCCGCCGCGGGGTGCGAGCGTGTTGGGGGATGTGGGCTGGGCGAGAGGAGGCCGAGGCGGTGGGGAGCACGCACACCGCGCCCGGCCTGACTTAGGCCTGACCAGGTTCCGGACCACAGGCCCCCTGCGCGGCCGTGGGGGGCCAGAGAGGACGACCGTTTGCGCGACGGGAGGGGAGGCCCGAGAGAATCCGGGAGAGGGAGCAAGGACAGGAAGTTCCGTACCGCCATAGAGCCACTCTTCCTCCTCATCCCCTCCGGTCCCGCCGCTCAGCTCCGACACTAGACGCTCGACCTCGCCGGCCGACATGGCCGCGCCGAGCACACCTTAAAGGCAGCGGTCAACAGCCCCCTCCAACCCCTTCCCCAGCCTCGCTGCCGGAGGACGTGGAAGAGGCGCGAACCCGCCAGCGAGCGAAGGAAGAAAGCACGAGACTCAAATCCACGGGATGCGGCCGCGGCGCCGGAGGCCGCAAAGGAGACTCGGCCCGGCCCGCCTGCGCATGCGCAGCAGCAGCAGCCCAGCGGCGCGGCGTCCGTAGGTGGCTTCCGCGGCGGCGGCCCACCTGGGCCGAGTTGCGCGTGCGCACCACTTAGCCCCGCCCCCTGTGGAATCCCACTTTGCCTTTTTGACTCTGGTTTCTAACGTGGCTTCCTGCGTAGACCAGGATTCCCCCTCCTCCAGCCCTTCCTCTGATAACCCACATTGCTTTGCCTGCAGGTAATCCATTGTCCCATTCTGCCCTTGAGGCTCTCTCTTCTCAACCTTACAATCTGTTTTTTTAATCTTCCCAAAGCCCGTATTTTATTCATATGTTGTAGCAGCCTTTATACAGAATAATTACCTCTCAGCCCTGTTTCTTATTAAATAAGAAATCATAATTCATGTCTAATTTCTTGAAAAATTTTTAACAGCAAACAAAAGCAAAACTAATATATATGTGAATAATGCATTCTCCTTGTTAAAACAAAACATTACAGTTGAGGTCGAAAACCCCTCATCCAGTAGTCCTTTCCAAAGGACTTGTTTGCTGTGAATCATCCTGAAATTTTTCACACATTTACTTCAGCTGAATTGTATTGTTTTATTGGGAGAACCCAAGGCTTAAAGGGTACAGCACAGAATGTATCTCTCTGTGAATTGCTTTAAAAAAACAAAACAAAAATAACTCAGCAATGTCTTCAAGATCCTTTCATGTTAGTACATATATATCAAACTATGTCCATTTTTAAGTGTTTCATAATATTCCATTGCATGGCTTTCATAAAGTAAATATGGCTATATCTCTGTTGATGTCATTTGATTTCAACTTTTCACTTTAACACACAAAAAAACCTACAATGAAGAGCTTTGTCAATGACTTCTTGCAGATTTATACAAGTCTTTCTCCAAGAGAGATAGATCATAAAGTATGTGCAGTTTTTGTTTTAGTAGATAATGTCGAATTTTCAGGCCACTTTTGAGAGCACATCTTTCAAGAAAATGATACATCATTGGTTAAAACTGGTGTTCTACTTCTTAATTGTAACTACCTAGTTGCTGACCTCAGGTAATCAACATTTCTATGCTTGTTTTCTCATCTATAAAGTGGGAAAACTGAATTAGATGATCTCTAAATCCCTTTCTGTTCTAAAGTTTTCAAACAATACACTTTTCAACAGAAAGAAATCCATTTTAGTTTTAATAATCAATCAATATGTTTCCGTATGCTTGAACCAATAAATACCATTTTCTGTTTATTTAACAGTTACTGAATACCTGCTGTTTAAGAAATTCGAAAATAAAGATATAACTAAAACATAATCCCCATCCTTAAAGAACTCTCTATTCGGAAAAGATGGTAAACAATTAGTTCTCCTACATGAGAAAAGGGGTATATGCTATAAAAAAAGCACAAAGTGTTTACATCCTAACAATACAACACCATTTTGTTTAATTTAAATAATTCATGCAGTTTTAATCCCCCTTACTTTTGAACTCTCTTTTATCTGCTATTCCCAGTCTCCCTTACCTGTTTAGGATAATCCCTGTATCCTTCTGAAATCTGTTGAGATATAATCAACTTTGTGAAATCCTTCTTAAATTCCACTTTATCTCCTCCCATTTTTTAATTTATTCAATAAATATTTATGTAGGGTCTACCAAGTGCCAGGAACTATTCTTTGCTATGTAGATTCAGCAGTGAGGAAAACAAAGTCCTCCTCTAGTGAGCCTTCATTCTAATGAGGAGACAGCCAATAAACCTAAGTGTACAATATCCTGCCCTTTACTGACAGTAATGGAGTGAAGGTCTTACATTCTGCTTGTGAGTATCATAAGGCAATCACTTATAGTTCTGTTTATTTATCACTAGTGGCCCAGTGCACGGATTTGTACACACTGAAAGGAAGTTAATAAGAAGAAATATTTTAATATCGCTATTCGCCCTTTCTCTATAATGGAAGTGTCAACCAAATTCACAAACAATGACAGATAGAAACACACCCAATTGGCACCAACGAGAGTATTATATGTACTGCATATGTGCAAGTCAACATTTATTTTTATTTTATTTATTTATTTTTTAAATATATTTTATTGATTTTTCACAGAGAGGAAGGGAGAGAGATAGTTAGAAACATCGATGAGAGGGAAACATCGATCAGCTGCCTCCCGCACATCTCCCACTGGGGATGCGCCCCCAACCCAGGTACATGCCCTTGACCGGAATCGAACCTGGGACCCTTCAGTCTGCAGGCCGACGCTCTATCCACTGAGCCAAACCAGTTTCGGCAACATTTATTTTTAAATTGCCAGTGTGCATTAGATGTACCGGCCAGTCGGTCGGACTGTCGGACGGACAGATGGTCAGTCACTTAGCCTTTTATATATATAGATTCCATGAGCATATAATGAACTTTGGTGGTTTCATAGAACAATTGTTTTTTGCTGAAGAGCCTCTTTTTCCTTTCAGCTGTCTGAAATGAACTTGTCTTTCAAGGCATTAGTTAAACTGAAGAATTACTGAATAATAACTAATGCATCAGAATTGCCTTCATGGAGGTAGCATTTGAGCTAAGCTTTGAAAGGAAGATTCCCACAAGCAGGGAAGCCCATAAATCACTCATAGCCAGTCTTAAAAGTCCTCTTCCTGCTTGCTTTCGAGTTGAGTTCCTTGTCTGGATACACTTCCTTAGTTAAAAGTGCCTTTTTCTCCTTACTCATTGAGGGAGACTTCAAAGACAGATAGCTTGAAGATGAATAAAATCAAGACCTTATCAAACTACAATACTCCATATATTCTGATTACATTTGTTTTCCCTTTTATTATTTTTTGTGATCTGTTGGTTCTTGGCAAAACAATAACAACACAGCGTCAGTTTTAATATAGCTAGCTCTGAGAATTACTGAAAGGAAATGCTTACTAGATAATTAAAATGATGACAAGAGTACAAGAGTTAAAGATCAAATAAAAGTACTTTGCTCAGTATCTAGTAGATAGCAAGTACTCATAAATGTGTTTTAAATTAATGTCATTTAGGCCCAACTGTGCTATTTCCTGCCAACTTTAAATATGTTGCTTAAATCTCTGTGTTCTTCAGTTTCCTCATCAGTAAATCAATCTATTAAAATAAATTTTACACCCACTTCTTGGAAGGATAACAAAGCTAAAATGTCAAAGCATTTAACAAGTTAGTGGCAAGCAGGTGGTACGTTACTGGTTACTGCCGTTTGTCCTTTGAACAACCTGAATAACTGCACATGTGCAGAGGTTTTCTTTCTCTCTAGATATTCCATGAGCAATTAAGCCCCAATTATCCATCTTCCTCTATATTCTTATGTATTTTAACAGTAAATTTTACATTGCCAGTTGTTTTTGGAAAATTAAATCATCTACTACATCTAACTGTTTTATAACCTGCACATTCTTTTTTTAAAAAAAATATATTTCTTTATTGACTTCAGAGAGGAAGGGAGAAGGAGAAAAAGATAGAAACATCAATGATGAGAGAGAATCATTCATCAGCTGCCTCCTTACACCCCCTACTGGGGATTGAGCCCTCAACCCAGGCATGTGCCCTTGGCAGGAATAGAATCTGGGACCCTTCAGTCCGCAGGCTGATGCTCTATCCACTGAGCCAAGCCGGTTAGGGCCTGCACATTCTTTAATGTTGAGAACAGTTTGGTTTGTGTGTTTTTCTGTAGTCAGCTGATCCTCTCTTAGAATGTCAACCCCATGGAAAGTGCTTAGTAAATTCTTAAATTGATCATTCATATGCAGGACTCAGAAATAAGGTAAAGGGAGATATGCTTGATTTTATGAGGCATGGGAAATAATTGCTGGATATTTTTAGTGAAATACAAGTCACATTTAAATAAGGTAAATCTTATTATCTTAAGCATGTCATTTTAGCAGGAATTCATTTACTCTGCCATAACATCTGAGAGCAAGAAATGGAAGGAAGAAAATTCTGACACATATTATAATACAGATGAACCTTAAGGATATTATGCTAAGTGAAATAAGCCAGCCACAGAAAGAAAAATATTGTATGATTCCATTTATGAGGTAAATAGAGTTCACTTCTTAGAACCACAAAATAGGATGATGGTTGCAGGGGCAGGGGAGGGAGACATGGGGAATTGTTGTTTAGTGGATAGACTGTATAGAATGTAAAAGCTCCGGAGAGTGTTCACAGAGCAATGTGAAAATGCTTAACACTACTCAACTGTACACTTGAAACTGGCTAAGATGGTAAATTTTATGTTACATGTATTTTGTTACAATTAAAACATCAGACACGCTGAAACCGGTTTGGCTCAGTGGATAGAGCGTCGGCCTGCAGACTGAAGGGTCTTCCGGTCAAGGGCATGTACCTGGGTTGCAGGCACATCCCCAGTGGGGGGTGTGCAGGAGGCATCTGATCGATGTTTCTCTCTCATCGATGTTTCTAACTCTCTATCTCTCTCCCTTCCTCTCTGTAAAAAATCAATAAAATATATTAAATTAAAAAAAAAAACATCAGACAAACAAAAACATGTCCCAACCAAACTCAATACATTTATTCCCCAAACTGCTTCTCTTTTGATTTTCCAAATCTCAGTGATGACCACTTAAGTGGGCATTAATCGGAATTGTTCCCTCTGCTTCACTCGCTTTGTCAATCCAGTCACCAGGCTTTCTGGCCCTGTCTCCCTAACATTTCTTAGACACCCCTCAGTGTCTATCACTGTTACCAGACAAGGGCCTGCCCTGAGCAGGTCTGCCTCAGGCCTGCCTGGAGTGCTTGGGTTCTTGACTTGGTGTAGGAAAGATTTCACAACAGGAGTCCAGAGGGGTTTGGAGGTATGTTTATTAATGCTGAGGGCAGCGAAACAAAGGAAGAAATTAGAGTGTGAGAAACAACTGGGGAGAGCCCAGGCCGTGCTCTGCTTTGGCTCTCTAGAAATGTTATAGGGAGAAGCGAGCCAGCGAGGGGCTGTTACTAGCTCACTGCGAAGTCAGAGGAAAGGGGGCCTTGACAGGATCCAGGGTGAGACCGGGTCGAACTGCAGCTGCCCACTGTTCCTCTGGGTGCAGATCTCATGGGGACCCTTAGAAAAAGAAGTTCATGCTTGGGAAGGGGCATGGGTATACTCTAGAGTGAGCCCACATTGAGTCTTTGTCCTGAGAACTTTTTCTTCTTTTTTACTTCTTCTTCTTCTGTAGGTAAGAATCTTATGGAAGGGTTTTAATAGAATATTCATCAGCTTTCTAGGTGCATTTTTTATATGTGGATGCATCAAAATGAGTGTATAGGGGAGTTTTGGATTATTCTTTGATCTGTTTTACTGTTTTACTTTTATCGTAGGTCTGTCTGGCTTTAATGGGATATTTCTTATTTGTACCCCAACTTCATCTGTCCTTGGGTGTAGCTGGCACAAATGGTATTCATTGGGTCGTTGTTCTCTATTTTCCCAGCCCAGGGTGCTTTAAGCTATGTATTTTCTGGTTAGGGAGGAGGGTATAAACCAGTGGTCAGCAAACTGCGGCTCTTTGGCCCCTTGAGTGTGGCCATGAAGTTTCAATCACACTGTACGTGCATGCCCGCACGTGGTATTTTGTGGAAGAGCCACACTCAAGGGGCCACAGTTTGCCAACCACTGGTATAAACCATTTGTTTTCAAGTGTCCTTGGTTAGGGAAGATAAGGTCTTGCAGTTCACAAGCTGGCTGTAAGTTGCCCAAACTGTTCGGCCTTGTTTAATTTTCTTGTCTCAGTTTCTTCATTCCACGTGCACAGGGATTTTCCTAACTTCTTACTATCCTACTACATCACCTGTACTTATCTACTCTAGCCTGAGCAGTTGCTGTTACTGTTCCTAACTGCACTCAGCTCAAAATCTTAGTGCATTCAAATAATTGTCCATGTCTTTACTAAATTTTTTTCTGCACTCCAAATGTGAACAAATTATTTCCACTCCTAAAAATACTTTAGTAGTTCCCCCCTTGGCTACTACTATTTAGAATAAAAAATAAGACTCACCCTAATCTAGTTTCTTTTCTAGTTCCTAGCTCCTATTTCTTCTTGAGTGTCTCTTTATACAATACACTCCAGCTGTACTGAACTATTTGTAGTTGCAAAGAACATGTTGTATGGTTTCATGACTAGCTTTGTTCATGCTGCATTTTCTTCCTGGACTGCCAGGAATGCTCCTCTCCACCTGGTGAACACCTGGTTTTCTTTGAAGGCAACTAAAAACTCATTTTCTATATGAAACTTCTGACCACTTCCCTTTTTTACTTCACCCAGTCAGAATTTATTTCCCCCACTTTGTAATTTTTAGGCATTAAAAAAAATTCATCACTTTTGCAACATTTTATTGCACTTTACATGTATGAGTTCTTTTTTAAAAAAAAAAAACTTTATTGTTGAAAGTATTACATATGCACCCCCCCCCCCCCCCCCGTTGACCTCATCTAACCATGCCCTCACCCCACTCTCCCACCCCACTCCCCCAACCCCAGGCCTTAGCTACCCTATTGTCTGTGTCCATGGGTTATGCATTATGCATACAAGTTTTTTGGTTGATCTCTTCCCACCCACCCATCCTCCCCAGCCTTCCCTCTGAGATTTCCCAATCTGTTCCATGCTTCTGTGTATGAATTCTTTTAATTCAGGTGCTTTTGAAGGCAAGGGTGTCTCTCCTCCTCCCCCATCCCCACCCCCACCCCTACCCCCGCCCCAAGGGCAAGAATCTTAAGGGAGGGTTTCAGCAGAATATTCACCAGCTTTCCAGGTGCATTTTTAATGTGCTAATGCATCAAAATGAGGGGATAGCAGAGTTTGGGATCATTCTTTAATCTGCTTTACTTTTATCTTGGGTCTGTCTGGCTTTAATGGGGCTTTTGTTATTTGTTCCCCTAACTTCATTTGTCCTTGGGTTTAGCTGGCACAATTGCCATTAATTGGGTCTCTGTTCTCTACAGTGGGGCCTTGACTTACGAGTTTAATTCGTTCCGTCACGGAGCTCGTAAATCAAATTACTCATATGTCAAATCAAAAAGTGAACGAGTGAGACACATGATGCTGGGCTGATGTTGTGGCGTTCACTGTGAAATTCGCTGCGCCAACTAGTGGTGGGGTATATGAAGCTGGCTCATAACCCGAATTTTAGCTCGCAACTCAAAGCAAAAAATCAGCCGAGAGACGGCTCATATTTCGAAAAACTCGTTAGTCGGGACACTCGTAAGTCAAGGCCCCACTGTATTTCCCAGACTAGGGTGATTTAAGCTATGTATTCTCTGGTTAGGGAGGGGAGGTATAAACCATTTGCTTTGAAGTGTCCATGATTGGGGAAGATTAATTTTTGTGATTCACAAGCTAGCTTTAAGTTGTTCAAATTGTTTATCCTTGTTTAATTTTCTTGTCTCAGTTTCCCTATTCCAGTTGCCCAGGAATTTTCTTAGCTTTTTACTATCCTGTCACAATAAGATCTAGGATAGAAGGCAGAGATGGAGAGGCACCGTGGCTTACTTTTTTTTATATCCCCAATGTCCAACACAGTGTCTGGAATATTGTACAAGTCTATTAAAAGTTGGTTGGCTATATTATTTATTCTATGGATATGAATTGAACATTATTTTACAAACATTTATTGAACACCTATTATATTGTAGCAGAATAGATATGTTAAAGAAAACAAGTATGTTAAAACTCATCCTGAGTCCTAGCCGGTTTTGCTCAGTGGATAGAGCATTGGCCTGCAGACTGAAGGGTCCCGGTTTTGATTCCAGTCCAGGGCACAAGCCCAGGTTGTGGGCTCAATCCCCAGTAAGGGCCATGCAGGAGGCAGCCGCTCAATGATTCTCTCTCATCATTGATGTTTTTATCTATCTCTCCCTCTCCCTGCCTCTCTGAAATCAATAAAATATTAAAAAAAACCCTCACCCCATGATATGGCAAGTACTTATCAGAGATATCAACTGTATGTTTTGTATTGGAGGACTGAGAAGGAAGATAGGATGATGATAGTAGTGGTGGTGACTTAGGAATATCCTCATTTGGAAGGTGAGGATACATTGGTACTTCCTTAGAAATGAGCACATCTCTTTAAAAGTAAGGATGAGAAGGGGTTGGATTATCAGATTTTTGAAGCAGACTAAGACTTATTGACAATGCGATGAGGGAGGAGAGATGGAGAAGGTGAAAATGAGGCCAGGAGATTGTTTATGAGGCCTGTGTGCAACAACGTATGTGACAACATCTATAAATTACAAAACATTAGGTAGTTGTTTTAGCTCAGGCTGCTCTCAGTTTATTCATTCATTTATTTATTTTTTTAAACATATTTTATTGATTTTTTACAGAGAGGAAGGGAGAGAAATAGAGTTAGAAACATCGATGAGAGAGAAACATCGATCAGCTGCCTTCTGCACATCTCCTACTGGGAATGTGCCCGCAACCAAGGTACATGCCCTTGACCAGAATCGAACCTGGGACCTTTCAGCCCGCAGGCCGACGCTCTATCCACTGAGCCAAACTGGTTTTGGCCATTCATTTATTTTAAAAATATATTTTTATTGATTTCAGCGAGGAAGGAAGAGGAAGAGACAGAAACATCAATGATGAGGGAGAATCAACTGCCTCCTGCACGCCCCACACTGGGAATCAAGCCCTCAACCCAGGCATGTGCCCTGACAGGTAATCCAACCTGGAACTTCCAGGTTCATAGGTCGCAGCTCACCCGCTGAGCCACTCCAGCAGGGCGGCTGCTTTGAGTTTAGGTGGAGAAAGGGGCTGTACTTTTAAACAGATGTGCTCATCTCTAAGGAAGTATCCAACTTTGGATTCTCAGGGGCCGGGAAAGGTCATCTGAGCAGACAGGGAGATAAAAAAAAAAGAACGTAGTTCAGCTATTCCTAGGCAGCTTCCTCCCTCCTCTTCCTCAACTTTCCAGGAATCCCGGAGCCCCGCCCACCTCTCCCCGCCCCGCCCACCTCTCCCCGCCCCGCCCACCTCTTCCTAGCCCCGCCCACCTCTTCCCAGCCCGCGGCCTTCTTACAGGAGCGGGTCTCCGGACCTGCCAATCACGCCCCGCGACGTCATCACTGTGCGCAGCCTCTTGACGAGTAGGACGCGGCCCCGCGTGTACCGAGTTGACTGTCAAAGTCTCAAAGAGCCCAATTCCCGGAAGCTGTGAGTTCTGAGGAAAGTTTTAGTTCCTGAGTGTGCGAATCCCCAACGATGAGCGCCCCGGGCGTACAGTCCTTTACCCAGCAGGGTTGGGAGCAGGTGCTGGCCAAAGCGAAACGGGCCCTGGTCTACCTGGACGCCGCCTGCGCCGAGAGCCTGCACTGGGGTTGCGGACCCACCCGGCTCCTGGAGGCGGTGGGCGGTCCTGCGTGCCACCTGCGGGAGTTCGAGCCCGAAGCAGTGGGCGGCGGAGCTAAACAGCCCAAGGCGGTGTTTGTGCTGAGCGGCCTCCTGAAAGGCCGAACCGTGGAGACTCTACGGAACATCATCTGCCGCAGTCACTTCCAGTATTGTGTGGTGGTCACTGCCGTGGACCACGCTGTGCACCTCACGGCTAATCACGTGCCCGCGGCCGCCGCGGCTGAGCTGGAGGGGCAGCAGCCAGTATTCGAGCAACTGGAGGAGAAGCTGTGCGAGTGGATGGGCAACATGAACTACACCGCCCAGGTGCTGCACATCCCGTTGTTGCTAGCCCCTGCTGCTCCCTGCCTTGCCTTGACTCCGGCCTTTGCTTCCCTTTTCCCACTGCTACCCCAGGATGTGCATCTTCTTAATAGTGCCCGACCGGACAAGAGGAGGCTGGGGAGCCTGGGTGAGGTGGATGCCACCGCCCTGCCCCCTGAGCTGCTATTGCAGATCAGGTGCCTGGTGTCGGGCCTCAGTTCTCTGTGCGAGCATTTAGGAGTGCGGGAGGAATGTTTTGCTGTAGGCGCCTTCAGTCGGATCATAGCTGCAGATCTGGCCAATTATGCTCCTGCCAAGAACAGGAGGAAGACTTCTACGGGCAGGGCCTCCGTGGTCTTTGTGGACAGAACCCTGGATCTCACAGGTAAATGGGATTGTTGTGCAGGTCTTCATAAGCACTCCCCAAGGTTCCGGGACTTTCACTGGTTCAGCATATATTTTATCGACCTCCTACTGTTTGTCAAGTTGAGGATACAAAGATGGACTAGATGGACACAGTCTCTGATCTCACAGAGTTTATAGTCTCTCTAGAGCAGTGGTTCTCAACCTTGGCTGCACATTAGAATCACCTGGGAATCTTTAAAATCCTGATTTCTGGACCTCATCTTCCGGAAATTCTGTTTCTTTGTTACTAATGATGAGGCCCAGAAATCAGGATTTTAAAAAGATTCCCAAGTGATTCTAATGTGCAGCCAAGGTTGAGAACCACTGCCTTAGAAGCACTCATGCTGGCTCTGTCTTAAGTCACTTTTGTAAGTCTGATTGTAAAAGGGGAGATCTGCTATTCCTTGTCAGGTCTGCAAGCCCCTCTTATGATCTTCATCAGTAAAATTGACTCTCAAATTTCAATACAGTATCATCCTATGACACCATTTACCTGGCTGACTACATGTTGATTATTTATCCATTCAGTATTTATTGATACTCATCATATCATTAAAATGTTAATTCAGCTTCTTTTTCCTCCCATTTTGTGAGTTCATATTTTCTGTCTGTTTAAACAGGAGCCGTTGGACATCATGGAGACAACTTGGTAGAGAAGATCATTTCAGTGCTTCCCCAGCTCCCCGGCCACACCAATGATGTGATGGTTAACATGGTAGAACTCACTGCACTGCAGAATGAAGAGGAGAATCAGAATATGGTTGCACCAGGCTGTCTTGCACAATACAAGTAGGATAAGTAGATTTTTTCCCCCTCTCCTCTTACTCTCTTTCCTTTTCTTTCTCTCCTAGAATGTTCTGTAGAAAGAAAAACAATGAAGAGTTAGTTTGGTTGAAAAATTCATAGTGGATAGCATTTAAAAAACCCACATTTTTTTCCTAACCAGAATAACCATAGCCAATAAACAACAATAAGCCACATGAATTGAGTCTAGGCTTTTTCCATTTCTCTTTCTCAGTTGACTTTTCCACATGATTAAAAAACTGCCCTTTGAAACAGTGCTATTGTATATATGTAAATAGTATGCTCTCGGCATTAATGGGAACAGTTTTTATTTCTGCGTATATTTTTCACATGCTTAGAGAAATTAGAGAACAAAGATGGTGTACTTTATGTTATGCAGAGTTTCAAAAATAAAAACATTTTTTCAGAAACAGGACAATGAAAAGATACAATAGTTACCTTTTCTACTTTGTCCTTCATCAACAATTCTATGAGGAAAAAATGCATCAGAAGGGAGGAAGTGTCCGAGTATCTGTTACCCTTATCTTCATGTTTTTATTGATTTTTTACAGAGAGGAAGGAAGAGGGGTAGAGAGTTAGAAACATCGATGAGAGAGAAACATCGATCAGCTGCCTCCTACACACTTCCTACTGGAAATGTGCCGCAACCAAGGTACATGCCCTTGACCGGAATCGAACCTGGGACTTTTCAGTCCGCAGGCCATCCTTCTATCCACTGAGCCAAACCAATTAGGGCTATGTTTTTAGTTTTTATACAAAACAAAACCTTTCAACACCATAGATTCAAATATCAACCTTAAAGGATACATTTGGAATTTCCTATCATATTTGGAATTAATTTTCAGCTCCTGAAGTTTTCAACTTTTTTGTAGATTAGTAAAATTGGATTCTGAGTGTGTATGATCCACTGTGGGAAGAAAATTGAAAGTTCTGTAGCCTATCTTTTGTAAGCTTATACAACAGTAAAAAAAATGTGCCATGTGCTAACTTCAGCAGCACACTTAGCTGTTCAGAGGGCCATTCAAAAGTGAATTCCTAAGGACTTGCTGAGCCTCACTCTGGACTAGGGACTATGAAGAACATATAAGAATATGAAATACAATTTTTGACCTCCAGGAACACTTTTTTTTGGTTGGGGTATTCATGATTTACATATAGGTACAATTAAAAATAATGTAAATCCAGACTAATAGAGCTGCTATAGATTATATAGTTCCTAAAAACAAAGTATAGGGTTAATGTAGATCAATGTGGAAGTTGTGGTGCTTGAAATAATGTTTTAAAGGATTTAAAAAGGTGAGAGGGCCAGGGTGAGCATAGGTATGGAAACAAGACAGTCAGGCGTTGTGAGGAAGAAAGATAACTTCATTGGACCACCATTGTCATCAGCAATATTAACATTTTTTTAGGATTTACTATGTGCCAAGCACACTTCCAGGCATTTTACATTTGGGAAATCATTTAAGTTTTACAGTAACCCAGTTGAGGTAGTTGTTGTTACTCCCCCATTTTAAAGGAAAGGAAACTGAGGCAAAGAGACAGGAAGCAACATCGCTAGCAGGAGGTGAAGATAGAATTTCAGCCCTGAATGTTTGACTTGCAGGCCATTGTTTTAACTTCTATGCAGAGGCCAGAGAAAAGTTGGCTGTTGAATAGATATAAAGAGACAACAAGAGACAAAAGTAAGGTTACTTCATGATTTAATTTGGTAAGGCCTATTTGTTCAATATAATGTTTATACAAACAACACAAATCAATTTTGGCTAATTTCAACAAAAGGAATTTATTAGAGAAGATTGGATAGCTAATGGAATCAAAGGAAGGACTGTTAATCCAATTTTGGAAAGAACAACCAGTTTCAGGGGTCTAGGGTAAAAACTTGGGAAAAGCCTGCTCAAGGCCTTACCCTAGAGAGACTGAATTTTAACTGTTTTCTATCTGAGTCATTCTCCTGAAGATTCATGTTCCAGGGGAAAGGTAAGATTGGCCCGATTTGGGCCTTGTGCCCACCATTTGCTCAGTGGGGGTTGGGACCAATTCATAGTGACTGAGAATTGTGACAAGATTGTATGGCTTGCCCTAATTGGTTTGGCTTAGTGGATAGAGCATTGGCTTGCGGACTGAAGGGTCCCAGGTTCGATTCCGGTCAAGGGCATGTACCTTGGTTGCGGGCACATCCCCAGTAGGGGGTGTGCAGGAGGCAGCTGATCAATGTTTCTCTCTCATTGATGTTTCTAACTCTCTATCCCTCTCCCTTCCTTTCTGTAAAATATCAATTAAAAAAAAAAAAGATTGTATGGCTTGGTGGAGGGGAAGTTCTTCAAAGGAAAACTGAAACATTTGACAAAAGAAGGGGAAGGGATGCTGGGCAGCTAAAACCAGTAGATGCCCCTTAATAAAAATACCACTTATAGAGTACTTATTGTGTAACAGGCATTGTTCTGACCACTTTATATATAGTATCTAGAGGCCCAGTGCACAAAATTCATGCACAGGTAGGGACCCTAGGCCTGGCTGGTGATCAAGGCCAATCAGGTTCCCCGCCTCCCCACCTCCTCCTTCTCTCACTCCTTCAGTGCCCCGCTGCTGCCGCTGGTTGCCTGCCATGTTCTGCACCGCCCCCTGGTGGTCAGTGCATGTCATAGTGAGTGATCAAATTCCTGTTCTGGTTAAACTCCTGAGGGGACACTTTGCATATTAGTCTTTTATATATATAGGTTTATTTAATTCTCACAACATCACTAACATAATTACAAAAAGAACATGTGACTTCCCAGAGAAGTTTGCAAAGAGAAGAGCAGAATCCATTGTTAATGAACAGGAAAAGCCAGTAAAATTCTGAGAAGTGTGGTGAAACAACTGTAAGAATCAAGATATGGCTTAGATCTACAAGTAACATTTTGATTATGGTCTATTAAATAACTTTAACTCTTCAGTCCTCCTTCTGCCTCAAGCTTAGTCACAAGCTTAAACTAAACCAGTCTTGAAATCCCATTTCCCTTGCCAATGATTGCTTTAGAAATGGGGAGGTAACAAGTGAGTCTTCTTGATCAGATTTCTTTGCTTCTGAAAAGAGACTCAAACAAAAGACACACTTTCCCCTTTCCCTTATCCTCCTCCCTCAATGGCCAGGACTCTGATGTAAATCCTGAATCTGCTAGGCCAACTTGCTCACATCCAGAAGTTGAAACTAACACTTGGAAGGTGGAGTGGCCACAGGAGCCACAGAGAAGAGCAGCAATGGGGTTACTGTGTCTGGACCACTATCATCTACATAATAAAAGCCTAAGAGACCATTATGGTGGAACAACCAGAACGACTGGTTGCTATGATGTGCACTGACCAATATGGGGCAGATGCTCAATTCAGGAGCTGCCCCCTGGTGGTAAGTGAGCTCCCACAGGGGGAGTGCTGCTCAGTCAGAAGCCCGGCTCATGGCTGGTGAGCACAGCGGCAGTGGCAGGAGCCTCTCCCACCTCCGCGGCAGCACTAAGGAGCAGCGAATTGAGCGGTAAGGAGCAGTGAGTAGGTGGGTGGTAAGGAGCGAGGAGTCCTAGACTGCAAGAAGGATATCCGCCTGCTAGCTTAGGACCAATCCCCAGGAGCGGGCCTAAGCCAGCAGGCGGACATCCCCCAAGGGCTCCTGGACTGTGAGAGGGCACAGGCCAGGCTGAGGGAACCTCCCCCCTCCTGGAATGCATGAATTTTGTGCACCGGGCCTCTAGTGTAGTATAGTTACTTATTGTTTAAGCCAAATTGAGTTGCTGTTTTCTATTACTTGTAACCAAAGGCATCCTAACTGACACATTTTCTATACATCATTATTTCATCTATAAAATGAAGGCATTGGCCTAGATGACTTCTAAGGCTCTTGGATTTAAAATAAAAATTCTTCCTGATTCGGAACCAAAATGGCGGCATAGGTTAACGCCGGAGATTGCTGCCTTGAACAACCAAATCAAAACACACCTAAAAGACGGAACTGACATCATCCAGAACCACAGGAAGGCTGGCTGAGTGGAAATTCTACAACTAGGAGGAAAGAGAATATCATACCCAGACTCAGAGGAGGCGCAGTGCTGAAGTGAAATACTCAGGTACGGAGTGCGCGCGGAGCGGGCTGGCGGCAGAGGGCACGGTTGGTGCTTTCAATCAGGAGGGAGTTTCAGACTCTGAGCTCCAGATCCAGGCGAGTCTCTAGGGACCCAGACTCAAACGGGAGAAGCGGGACTGTCTGGCTTCAGTCGGAACTCGAAGGCAGCTTTCTCTCTGAGGTTTGCAGCGGTTGCTGGGACTCTGTGAGGCAGAGCCCCTAGGGACGGAACTGAGAGCCTCCATAACTGCTCTCTCCGGCCCACCCTGTTGATCCCAAGCCAGAGCGACCCGCCCGCCCCACCCAAGCCCTGCGCAGAGCCATTTGCCAGATAGCCTCAGGCAAAGGCTAGATTAGCACCTCCCTAGAGGACAGAAGTTTTCCCACTGCAGACACAGCTGGCCTGGAGGTCAAATCCCCCTAGTATTAACTACAACAATCAAGGCTTAACTACAGGAGGACTGCACACAAAGACCACTAGGGGGTGCACCAAGAAAGCATAAAAAATGCGGAGACAAAGAAACAGGACAAAACTGTCAATGGAGGATATTCAGTTCAGAACCACACTTTTAAGATCTCTCAAGAACTGTCTAGAAACCGCTGATAAACTTAATGAGATCCTCAACAAATCTAATGAGACCCTCGATGTTATGATAAAGAACCAACTAGAAATTAAGCATACACGGACTGAAATAACGAATATTATACAGAATCCCAACAGCAGACCAGAGGAGCGCAAGAATCAAGGCAAAGATTTGAAATGCGAAGAAGCTAAAAACACCCAACCAGAAAAGCAAAATGAAAAAAGAATCCGAAAATACGAAGATAGTGTAAGGAGCCTCTGGGACAGCTTCAAGCGTACCAACATCAGAATTATAGGGGTGCCAGAAGA